CATGTGACATCACATCATCACACACTAATCACATTGCAAGACATTGCTCATTTATCAAGTTAAAATTTATTAGAAATGTTTGCTCATCTTGCAGAACACTTACAGAACAAGTTACTCACAATCCAGGGTTTTACTGTATTTTTCTCTTCATCATTGCCAGTACTTAATGTTCTGAGATTTTAAGTTTTTTCCTCTCTGATTATACAAATGATGCTTCATTTTCATTTGTGTTTCCCTGATTACTAGGGGTTGCATATTGATTCCTGTGCTTCTGTGAATGTATGTTTATGGTCTATGCTTCACCTTTTTCTTTGTTTTTCCTTATATGTATTTATATAAAAATAGATACTAATGCTCTGTTATACCTTTTGGCTTTTAATTTTATTTATGGTTTTTTCGGTAAGAAGCTCATAATGTAATTACATTCATCCTTATTTTCCTTTAATATTTGTGTTCTTTTCCTACTAAGAAGCTCCTTTCTAGCTGGCTGTGGTGGCATGTGCCTGTAATCCCAGAACTCAGGAGACTAGGGTAGGAGGACTGAGAGTTCAAGGCATGTGGGCTGCATAGCAAGACTGTCTCCCCAAAAAAGTTTTTTTCAATAGTAGGAGTCTATCTTTTTTCCATAAATTTTTTTTCCAAGTTGATAACCTTTATTTCACAAAGATTCTCCATAAAATTATTATAATAACCCATACATTATGGTTTCTAAACATTTACCCACTAATGGTTTTTGTGAGAGGCTGTTGTCCTTCATGGTTCAGGGATAGTTTAGATGGCTGATGTTTGTAAGAGCCCAGCTTTTCTTCCTTTCTACTCAGCAAGTTAGTCTTTTCAGAAGCCTTGCCGGATGTTTTCTTTGTTTGCTTTTCCCTGTTGCTGCTTAATTTGATAGATTTCATTTTCTAGTTGCACAATAGTCCGTTTAATCTCTTAATTCTTACTGACCAGGGACACCCAATTTGACTCCATTTCTCTCAATTTAGATCAGCTGTGAGTTGCATGTTTTTCCGCTGCCAGTTTAAATCTTGAATATGTTTCCTTAACTTCTGAAGCTCTTTCTGTGCATGTTCAATCATATGAACTAGATTTTCGTTATATACTTTCCGGGCATTACATCCATGCTGTGACATTAGCTCCAGATTCTCAATTCGTACTGCTTGGTGCTCTAATTGAGCCATAGAATTGTTTACACATTCTTGCCATGCAGTAATGTTGTTTTTCTGACCTGAGGAAGGGGCTGGAAGCTCATATCGTTTCATACTGAGCAATTTGGTTGTCAGTTGGTTGTCCAGCAGCCAGTCTTTCAAATTCATTTCTCATTATGTCAGTTTCGAAAGCCGAATAATCCGGGGCTGTTAAGTAGCTCAGGTAGTTCTTGGTAGGTCGGTATCTGCGAGTTTCCTCCTCTACCAGAGCCGCAGCCGCTTCCCTCCTGCCTGGCGCCTTGATCAAAATACAGCAGCGCATCCACCACCAACCCCGTGCCCACCATGGCACAGAACACACTCCCGCCTGCGTTTTGAGTCTGGACAGGATCGGTCCTGTTTAAGTCTTTTTTTTTTTTTCCATAAATTTTGAAACTTTGCTTTTCTCAATTTCTACTGGAATTTTACTATTGTGTAAAATAAAAATCTTACTTTATTGCATTTAGTATTTTTCCATATAACTTCTTCCACCATTTTTTGTGATTTTTATTAATACATGTTTGTAGTATATAATATTTATATGCCTTGTAGAGAATTAGTACATGTATATAACACATCTTGATTTCTTTTTTATCCCCTTTTCCTTCTCTCCCTTCTCCATCTCTCTCTTGATCCCCATCCCTTTTATTTTGTGCATGTTTGCAATACATGTTACATTCCTTATGTGGAACTGGTACACATACATAGCACATCTTAATTTCTTTTTTTGTTCTCATTCCCTCCCCTCCCGCCATCTTTTGATCCCCTTCCCTTTTGAGAAATACTTATCTCTGGGCCGGGGATTTGGCTTAGTGGTTTCGCCGCCTGCTGTGCAAGCGCAAGGACCGGAGTTCGATCCTTGGTACCAAAAAAAAAAAAAAAAAAATTGTACCTTGAAATACCTATCTCCTTACTTTCTATTTTTTTTTTTTTGGTACCAGGGATCAAACTCAGGTCCTTCGGCCTGCATAGCAGGCAGCGAAACCACTGAGCTAAATTCCTGGCCCCTTCCTATTATCTTTTATTTTGCTCTTTATTTATACTTTGGGTTTCTCATATAAAAGAAACTATCACCATGATTTTTTGATGATTCTGTTTTTCTCACCAATTTGTAGCAATAATAACAATTATTTCGTGTTTACTATGTGCAAAGCAAAATTATTAACCCTAAGAGGTAGTTGCTGTTGCTGTGTGCACGCTAAAGATGAAACAGCTGCAGCACCAAGACATTAAGTCATTTTCCCAAGAACTCACGGCTATATGAGTATCTTAATTATGCTTTCGTGGCTGTCTCGGTGTCCCAGATCAGTTCAAAACTATTGACCTTTCATGGTCATTTTGACTTTGGGGAGGAGCCAGATCCAGTGATTTAGGTGGATGAGGATACACCTTACTGTTAAGAGCCTGCCTTATTGTTGGCTGGCAATCGGCAATAGCATTCACCATATTTTTCATCATATATAGTAAAGTACTCATGAAAGAAAACTTCTAAAACTGCTTCAGAACATGGCAAGAAGAAGTGTATTCAAAGTGAGGGAGATTAATGGCAGTATATCATTTACTGTAAAAAATTAAAGCATTCACTATATATTTTGCTCACCTTTTATGTCATTTGTCCTGAACCCTCAAGAGTATTTTCTATAGACAAGGACATTATCTCACATAATCATAATTGAACCATCAAAATTCAGAAATTAACTACCTTTTAATTTGTATTACATTACCACCTACTCCTCAAACCACTGAGGTTTCACCTGTTGTCCTAACATTCCTAACAAAGGATTTCAGCTTGTGGGTTGCATTTAGTTTTCAAGTCTCACAGGTTTTTCTTTTAATCTGTTTGTTACGGGTTATATACTTACATTTTTTCTCCTGTTAAACCATGCTGAGATTACCATGTACAATTCTAGTATACTGATGTATTGTTAATTGACTACTACTGTTAACATTATTGGTATGATTTTCATAAAACAAAATGCACTATTTTTAAGCATACAGTTTGGAGAATTTTAAGACATGTGTACACAATGTAACTATCATGATTGAGATACAGAACGCTTCCATTGCCCCAGAAAGTTTTCTCATGTCTCTTTGCAATCAATTCCTCCCTCCCTACCCTGTCTGTATAAGTTGATCATATCTTTCCTCAAATTTCATACAAGAATTCTATAGCAAAGACTCCTGTGTGTAGATTCCTTTACTCAGCAGTGTTTTGGAGATTCCATGTTGTGTGTACATTTGGCCCTTAGTATCTTCAGGTTCCATATCCATGGATTCAACCAACCACAGATTGAAAATACTCAGAAAAAAATTTTACTTGTACACTTTTTTCTTCTCACTGTTCCTTAATACAGTGTAAGAACCATTTACATAGCATTTACATTGCATTAGGTATTATAAGTCATCTAGAGATGATTTAAAGTATATGGAAGAATGTAAAACTTTCCAGGATAAAACCTACCAAGTTTTATATAAATACTACATGTTAAATAAGGGACTTCAGCATTGGAAAATTTTGGTATCCAAAGGGGGTTCTGAAACCAGTTCCCCAAGGATACTGAGAGATGGCCATGACTACATTTGTATCCTTTTTATGTTTTCATAGTATTTCATTATATGGATATATTACAACTTGTTTATTCATTCACCTGTTGATGGACTATGTGTTGTTTCTAGTTTGAGGCTATAGTGATAAATCTGTATGAACATCTGTATATGAGTCTTTGTATAGATATATGGTTTTATTTCCCTTGGGTAAATATCTAGAGGTAGAATTGCTGGTGTTGTGTTTTGTTTTGTTTTTCTGGCAACATTGGAGGCTGAACCCAGGACCTTCCCACTAAGCTACATTCTCAGCCCTTTTTTTATTTTTCGTTTTGAGACAAGGCCTCACTAAATTCCAAAGTTGCCCTGGCTGGGCTCAAACTTGTGATCTTCCTGCCTCACCCTTACAGAGAGCTGCAATTGCAGGTGTACTCACCACGTCCAGCGTTTGCCCATCTTCAGTTGAAGTAAGATTAAGTTGTAACTTTCTTATATTTTGGATACAAGCCTTTTGTCAGATATGGATATACTAAACATTTTCTCGTAGTCTCTGTCTTTTTTGGTTTTTTAGCAGTGTCCTTCCAAGAGAAAAAAAAAATCAATTTTGACTTTTTCTTTCTAGTTTCTGCTTTTTATAAGAAATCATTGCCTACGCCAGTGTCATTAAAGAAGAACTTATGTTTTTGATCCTTTTGTTATTTTTGTATATGTGTTTTATGGACCGTCAATTAAGAAGGTAGTTTGGATCCTTTTGGTTTTCATGTGGCATGCAGAAATTTGAGGCAGCCTAAAGGGGGTTTAAATAAGGTTGCAGGGGCATTTCATGGCTCCAAAAGGCAAAGATGGAGGCAGATCAAGAACAGAAAAGCTGGAAAGCCATCAAGAATGCCCTTTTTCTAGTCCTTGTTTTTGCTTTTCTTTCTTCACAGACTGGCTTGCTTTGCCTGTGTAGCTTCAGCTGTTGTTCAGAGCCTCATCCACATTCCTAGGATAGGGAATCAGAGTGGCCCAGCCTTAGTGTCAGGGTCCACACAGGTCCAATTAGCCAATGGAGATCAAAGTTACAAAGTATAAACTATGCCTGGGTATCAGGGTCACTCCTAAAAAAGAGAGGTGGCTTTATAGTCTGTTCATATATCCCCAAAAGAGGTCACTGTTCTACCCCTAATCCATCTTCTTCTCCTGGTGTACTCTCTGGAACCATTTTTAGACTTGTAGCTTTTAAGTATTACTTTGTGCATACTCTGGCTTTTTTTCCCCAATCTGCAGCTATATTCTTCAGCACTTGTAGAATGTGAGGACCAAGATCCACTTAATAATGATAGAAATTTTGATGTGGAATCAGTAAAAAAAGAAATCCAGAGAGGAAGAAAGCTGGTAAGTAGAAATCATTTTTATTTCTCTTGCAGGATAACCATACTCTTCGGGAAGTGCATTCAGAAGAAAGTTAACTTGCTTGATAAACCAGGAATAAAGAAGCATCTTGGAAAGCTGAAAAAAGGACTGTATTAGAAATTTAGATTCAAGTGAACATTCAGTACTTTAAATTACTACTTCATCAGTAAAGTAGATAAGAGTCAGACTGCTTTTGACTCTAAATGAAAGAAACCCCTACTCAAATTGGCTTTAACAAAGGATGCTTGTTAATCAGAAGAAACAGCAGCTTCAGTGGCTCGATGATGAAATTAAGGCCCCAGGTTCTTTCCCCCTCCCTTCTGTCCCCAGCATCAACTTGTCCCTTCACAGCCATAGGTTGAGTGCATGCAGCAACTGAAGCATTAACATTTCATGGTCATATCCCTCTTTCTGCACCAGCTGGTAGGTGTGACCATAAATGATCATGATCTATCCTTGGAGCTGAGGTGGTAAGGGGAATTCCAGAAAGGAAGGACTGCTGAGTAGTTACCCTACTGGGTCCATTGAGTTCACAGACTTTCTTAGTAAAAGGCCATTCACAGCTGGACAGCAAGTGCAAATGCCTCATGCCCTGACCACAATCACAGATTAATGGCCAGGAACAGACATTTATTTAATCTTTGTAAAATGTCAGCATTGGCAGCATCCTGTGGTAGGTGTTATAGGCATTGGTGTGTGTAAACTCCAAGCTATAGGTCTAATGCTGCTCATTTTGTAAGCAGAAGAAATTGAAAGTCCAGAGTACATGAAGACAGTCCAGATAGAATTCTACAAATTATGCTTTCTCAAATGGTGTAGGTAGTACTGTAGTAGATCCTGAACCAAGGCATAAAATGGAGTGTACAGATCCTGCCCTCGATGTTCATACTATGTCAGTCATTGGAAAGTTTGGACACTGGCATAATTTCTGCTGACAGGAACAGGGAGGCCACTCGAGTCCATTTGCGGGCTTTGGATGTGATGAGTTAGCAGAGAGCCCCTCTACTTAGAAAGTAGCAGACACACCTCTATTGAAAGATCATTTTTGCTGCTCTTTGTTACCTGGTTGGATAGTTAAGAGAACCCACCTTTAGATTCCAGAGGTTGTCCACATGTGAAGAACCCAGTCTGAGCACTGAGGGAAGTTGACTAGAAGTATAATAATCAGAAGGAAGCAGGGGGACCTGAGGGTTTTTGCAGATTTTGTGATGCAGACTTCCCTACTGGGAAGACTTTGGAATTACACTGGAAGTGCAGGATAAAAGAGAGGTGTGCACAGTCACTGTAAGTAATCAGTCCCTAACAAGTGTTTATTAACCTTTGGTATATATGAGTGGATACAAAGTGCACACACTCATAGGGAAGACAGTCCTGTGAGTGGACACCTTGGTAAATGCTTTCAGAGGGGTCAGCACCATCATCACAAGCAGCCTCTATTTGGGTCTTTGCATCCCTTCCTAGTGTAGGGGGTGGGGAGCAGGGAAAGAAAGACTGGAAAGGGATTCCAGTGAGAGAATGGGATATACAAAGGTGTGAAAAGCTAGAAAGAACAGGGTACACTTGTAAAACCACAACCATGTGACTCCATGGTATTTATTTCCTATACTGATTCTTGGAATTCTGTAGAGTGTAACACAATGCATGAAAACACTCCCTTGTGGTCAAATAATGAATCTATTCTGTGTTTTCACCATAAGTAATGATGCAACAAACATCTTTGTACATATATCCTTGAGTGCTTGTTTGAGTGTTTCTATAGCATTCTGGAAGTGGAATTGTTGAGTCAATTAAAAATGTTGAACTATGCCAGACATGGTGGTGTACACCTGTAATCCCAGATACTTGGGCTGAGGTAGGAGGACTGCAAGTTCAAGCACAGGCTAGGTAAGTTGGCAAGATGCTGTCTCAAAATAAAAAGGGCTGGTAATGTAGCTCAATGATAGAGCACACATTGAACTATGCTGACAACCTGTCCCTGGGAAAGGTTTTACCAGTTTAGATCTCTGTGCATATTGGATGAAAAATCACTTTTTCTATTCTACAGGGAATAAATATCACTACTCTTGTTAATTTTGGCAAGTGTGATAGAAGAGTTAGACCTAGGATTGGTGACTTCTACTCCCCAATCACCAGAGAGGTTGAACATTGTTTCTCTTTAGGCGTCACCCAGTTCTTGCAGTTCTTCAATCATCCCTTTGCAGTCTGTGGCCCCACCTCATCTCTGGCCCATGACCACAACTGCCTTCCAGCCATGCTGGCCCCCCTCTCCCACTACACACATACACCACTTCCCCACTTGGCAGAACCCAACCCTGTGTAAACATGTTCATTGGTTATCTGCATACCCTGAGTAGCACCAGCCCTTGAGCAGTTGAACAACTGGAGAAAAAACCACGAATGTGCTTACTGACTTTAGATTCATGACCACAAACCTCAGAAGGGCCTTCATCACTTCTTGTACTATATGTTTGCTTCACCCTCCACATTTATTGTTTCACATCCTCTCATCTCTTTAAAACCTCTGACCCAGCCTCCCAGCCCCAAGCTAATGGCTGTCCTTATTTAACCTCTTAAATTGTATTCCTCACCCAGTTGTCCACACCCTGCATCTTGTACCTTTTAAAAAATTTCCTAGACATACATTCCAGGTGTCTCCTACCTCTCTGGCCACTTCTTCCCTGATAGCCTACCTGCTTTCTCCTCTGCCCAACCTTGGAGATTTGGAGCCACTCAAGATTCCAAAAGACTCCTGGGCTCCTTCATGGATCTGAACATCCTTCCTAGGTGGCTTCATCCAGTTCCCATGGCTTAAATATCATCTATATGTCAGGAACTTGCAAATCAGTCTATCTTCTGCCTTTTCCCTCCCTAGAATCCCAGACCACCAACCTGATACATGTTCAAGGACACCTAAAGCATCTCACATTGAGCTCACCGATAACATAGTCCCATCCCTGTAACACTTCATCCAAACCTGCTGCTCCTTCACCCCTGTAAACAGGCATCACTTATCTGCCAGGCAAAGCAGAAATCTAAGGATTATCTTTTCCTCATCAACTCCCCACCCAGTGTGAAGCCCATTGGTGAAATCTCCTAGATATAACTTGTGTCCTCTACCAACTTTTCTCTCAGCATTACTAATCCACTAAATGAAATCTGATTTAGCTTTCTCAATGGTTGTAGATGATTACTGATACTTTGTTTCTCTCCTGCCACCCTACCCAGCTCATTCTTGTCCTGCCCAGCTCATACAGCAGTCAAACGTCAGAACGATCTCTTGAAAACATGGATCATTTTTCTGTTCCCCTTGCTTGATGATAAAAGCCCATCTCCTTACTCTGGTTTATAAGCCTTGTGTGACCAGGCCCTAACCTGAGATTTCCTCTGCCTGATCCAGGCTCCAGTAACAAGAGACAGTCCTTGTCGTTCTGGTAAACCTGCCAGTGGGAGACTCAATCTTCCCATAAGTACTAAAGAGGCCTCCACTTACAGTATCTCTCCCCCTGCTTTGCTGTACTAGACATTAAACCAGGGCTGAGTCAAATCCCCAGCTCCCTTTTTAAATTTTGAAACATCTTACTAAGTTGCCCAGGTGAGCTTCAAACTTGTGACTTTCCTGCCTCGGTCTCCCAGGTAGCAGGGATTATAAGCCTATGCTGGGAGAGGCGGCAGGGGCCAGCTCAGTGTGCAGCAGGCCAGGGGCAGTCTCTGTCCCTGACCCCAGGTGCTGTTGGGGAGGCCACGCGGAGATGCAGCTTTGGAGCTGACCATGATGCTGAGAGCGAAGACATAGGCACCGGGAGTGGTGGCGCAGTGACCAGCGAGGTCCCTGGTGAAGCCCAGGTGGCCACCTTGGTAGATTGGGCCTCTGAGCTGACAGTGAGTGGACAAAGTGGAGCCCGTCCCTTCTGTCCCAGAGACCTGGCCTAGCCCGGCTTCCCTGCCCTGAGCGCCTTACCATACCAGCAGTGAGCATAACTTGCAAGGAGAATTTCTGGCCTCCAGAGACCGGTTACAGGCAGGGAGTTTCATTCACTCTGCCAAGGACCACCTCATCCCAGGACACAAGCCCCGCTCCTTTCCTTCCTCGTTTCACTCTCCCAAGTGCTGAGATCCTCCAGCTCCAGGTGATCCCTTTCCATCAGGAATCCAGTCTTTCATTCCTACAGGAATCAGCCTCCACCACCCCTCTCTGTTCGTTGTTAACTAACCGGAGCAGGTTTTAACTCTTCACAGAGGGAATTATTTTGTCAAAGGTGGTAAAATAAGTTTCATACTCTTCCTTGCTCCATTTTATTAAGCATTGATTGTAATCCTTTTCCAGGGCTTAACACTTCATTCCATCTAGGAACTATTTTAAATTTATATATAAATATTATAGTGAAATAAATCAGACACAGAAGGTTAAGTATCACACGACTTCTCTTATTTGAGTAACCCAAAGTATAAGTAATTTAAAGAGAGAAAAAAAAATGACAGAAAACAGAGAAAGACTATGGAAATCAGAAGAGGATTTGGGGGAGTTGGGAGGATGACAAGGGGAAGTAAATCAAGATCAGTGTGCAATGTGTCTATGTGTACCAGTTCACACTGTGCATGTACTTCTTATGTATGGCAACATAAACACCAATAAAATAGTTTTTAAATGCAAAATAGTAATAATAAGCCTATGCTGGTTCCCAGCTCATCCCCCTACCTTTTTGCATACTTGGAGCTTTTTTTTTTTCATAAAGTTTATTGGTACATTTTAGTTATCCAATATGATGACATTCATCATTGGGAATTTGCACCTTTACATAATCTCTCTTGGTTCTTATTCCCACGCCCACCCCACCCCACCCCACCCCCGTTCCCCTCCCCTCCACCCCTCCCTGTTCCCTTCTTACCTTCCCCTACTCCTCCCACTTCCTCTTCCCCTTTAGACCTTTTCTTCCTGTTTCACATTATCTATTATACAATTTGATTTTTATTTACACTTTCAG